AAAACTTCTAAAAATAATCAAAAACAGGTCATTTTTAAGAATCGAAAATAAACCATAACGAAAACTGAAATCTCGGTATTTCTAGGAATCGAACCAGAAAAGTAAAATTTATCGAGGTTCTATCCCTGTTTCTAACTATAAGCAAATCATACAATTTTCAACATTTTGATGAATTTCGTCAAAATTTAAAATTTAAATGTATATCTTTAATATTTTTGAACAACTATTAAAACTATAAAATGTTCAATTATTGAAAATTATTTTGAACATTTTTTGAGTATGGAAACATGCTAGTATCAATATTTGATTAAAATTGCAAGCAAGTTTGATGAACTTCGTCGAAATTCCAACTTTAGACTTCTATAAAAATGTATTATGAATTTAAACTAAATTTTTTGGTTTGATTATACTCACACTAAAATATAAAATTGTATACCTTGTACTTGATTTTCAAGTTTTTTGTTAGAGCGAAGAGCGAACAACTAATTATTGGCTTCAATTCGCCGCTTTACTATAGAAACTATTTTGTGGCTATGTCTGTACCTACCTAAATCTTAAATCGTGATTACGAGCACAGACTATAACTACCTACTATATAAAAGTTGGCATTATATAAAATGTTAAGTCGTAGTTAGTGGTTATTGCATTTCAAAATTTACCTTTCTACTAGAAAATAAGAGACATAATAAAATTAACTTCGAAAATCTGTTGGTATATTTATTAAATTCATTGACAAACTGGTCAAATCATAAAATATATCACATAATAGGAATAGGATAAGCCGTAAAACAAATGTTATCATATAATTTCTTATGAATTTAAAAATTTTACACTTACCTATTGAGTTATTAATAAAAACTTTCAATTTTCAGTTTTTTAAATTCCTTTTCAGTAAATATGTGTAGAACACGATTCCGCAGGTTCATTGTTTGACATTACCTTTTATTTCTATAATACCTACTCCGTATTGTATTCGAATGCAACGCTACCATGTTAATTATTAWATACGATTCTGCACGTTTTTTTCTTGTAACATGAGATTGATACAATTAGTGCACATATTACAATATTTTAAGAACCTCATATTTGATGGATTCAGATTAATTTATTAGGCATTTGGTTAAAATCACTTTTACTAAACTACCGTTTCTCCAATTGGAAAAGGTTGAAGGATTTTTAGAACTCATGAGTAAGTGTCCAAATGAAAGTAAAGGCTATATATTTTCTGATTGCATACTTTAATCTTACAAACAATCTGCAGGTTGTGTAGTCCCACCAGAATTATGAGCAAGTGAACACCTTCAATTACACCAAGGTAACTACATTTTATTTATAAAAAAATGTTGTTGAACCGCCAAATGGAGCAGAAATTTTTCATAAAATGTTCAATGGGCAATTTCATAGTGTTAATCCACCAACGCATGGAGTAATAYCTCTACCAATGGAAATATAACCCGAAACTACGACAAAAATTGATTAAATTGCTAGAAACATGCACAATAAAATGGGATCATCCGATTTAAAACATACACATAACGTTAAACAACATTTCAATAATAATTATAAAATACATTATAAAACATTGTAAAATATCTTACATATATAAGCTTTGTGTATCAAGAGAAAAAATTATATTAAATTATTTTACATTTTTTTTTTTTTGTAATGACAACTCACTATGAGACAATTTTTTTTAGATTTATTTAGATGCATAATTATTTCACATCATATTTATTTTTTGTAATGACGRCTATGAGATTGTAATAAACCATTTGTGATAAATTTTACAATGTTGCACCCAATTCCTATTGTATTCTTTTYTTATGAACAATAAAGTGCGCGGAATCATATTCCTCCGATAAATCAATTTTTGTCCACTGTTTTGTTAAACAACTTGATATTTAATGCAAAGTTCTTCATAAGTTGATATAATAACAGTTCAAAACAATTAAAAATAGATA